CCTCCTTCCCCTCCCCGCGGCTCGACTCCCTTGGGGCAAAGCGCAGGGCCGCAGCCGGCCACCCGCCTTTGCTTTCCGGGGGCCCTTGGCTGACACTAATTGTAGCGTTTGCCATCGACGAAGTTTCCGTTTTGATTGTGAAAGTAGTGTTTGCCGCCCTTGCCCTCTGCGCGGCCGCTCGGGCCGCCGGCCCGCCGTGCCGCACCCAGCCTCGAGGGGGAGCGACGCCCGCGACGCGCGCCGGCCGGCGGCGGCGCCGCGGCGGCGGGCTCTGTTTCTGGCCCGCGCCCGCGTTGGCGCCGCCGCCTGCGCGCAGCTGCCCCTGAATTTGACCTTGGGGCGCCATTGAGGTGGCAGAGCCTGGACGGCTGGTCAGCCGCCACATGCGGGCCTGCGCCCCTGCCCCGCCTCCCGACCCTGCCCCGGCCGAACAGTCAGCGTCCTCAGGCGCCTCGCCGCCTCACCGTCACTCTTTGTGGCGCCCCGACGGCGCCGGACTCTCTGTAACGCAAGTTGCTTGTTCCGCCCCTGCGCTGCCGCGCCAGCCGGCATGGCAGGTGTGCTGCAACTCCCACTAGTGCCCCCCTAGTAGCTGTCCGGCCGCCCGCAAGCTATTGACCCGCTGGGGCCGGCGATGACGCAGCCAAGGGTCCAAGAGTGTCTCACACACAGGCGGAGTGGATTCGATGCACGTGCGTGTTACAGCAAAGCCTGCGCGCGTCGCAGCCACAAGCCTGTGCGTACGAGGAGACGGATTGGGGGTCTAATGGGAGCGTCGGCTGCTCGATCCATGGGGCAGCCTCACAGCAGCCCGCAAAATGGGAATCGCCAAGCCAATTGCGGTCCCCGCAGGCAAGAGTTGCGGCACCGCTGCGGTTGTGGCTCGGGGGAGGGCTTCAAGGCTGGCACAAAGCTCGGCCCCCTGGGTTGCGCGGCATGCACGTGTGTACGACGCCACGCGCGCAGCGGCTCGTAGCCGCGCCGGCTCCCGCGCCCAGGCGCCCGTGAAAGAGAGCGCCGGCGCGCATCTTCTTTCGGCGCGCTCGTGCGCGCCCGCACCCCGGTGACGTCAGCTGGTGTCAGCAAGGCGGTTGGGGCTGCCGTCTCGGGCCCGAAGCTTAGATGTAGGTGACCCCGCTGCCCTCTACCACCTCCCCCAGGACAAACAGCTCTGGAGGGCGCGCAGCGGAGCGGGAGGGGACGCGGCGCGCGAGGGCTGAGGTGAGGGACGCGTCTTGGCGGGGGCGGCGTCAAAAGAGCCGCCAGGGCCTCAGCCAGCCCCCAAGCCATGCTGTTCCCTGGCACGCAGCAGGGCGGCGCGTGAACCCCTTTCAATCCCCCTGCCCCACACACACACACACAGATACACACACACGCACGCATGCACACACGCACACACACGCGCAGGCATACACATCATGTGGTCCGCACCTGGGTCCGCCTGCAGCGCCTTCTCCACGTCAGCCTTGCCCACCACGGCCACCAGCCCCACCCCGCAGTTGAAAGTCCGCCGCATCTCCGCGTCAGCGATGCGCCCCTGGTCTTGGATCCACTGGAACAGCGGCGGCAGCTGCGGGGCAGGAGGTTTCGGGGAGGGGTTGGGGCGGGGCAGCGCAGGGTGAGTGCAAATCAGGGATAGAAGGCTGGATGGCGCTGGCAAGAATAAGTGGGTGGGTTCCAGCAGCAGCGAGGCGCAGACGCGTGGAGAGCAGCGCCCCTCAGCAACATTGCCCAGCCGCTGCGAGGCCGCCGCGCGGCCGCATGCCCGCTCGCCCCGCCCGTGGCCCCATGGCGGCGGCGCCCCGCGCGAGGGGCGGCGGAGGTGTCGCGGCTGGGCGCCCCCCGGGGCCGCGGGCGGGGGCGCAGGCGCCCTAGGCATGGTCGTCGGCCCGGGGAATGCAGCATGACTCACCGTCCAGGCCTTGGTGTCAATATTGACGCCCAGGCCCTTGGGGATGACGCGGGGGATGTTCTCGGTCATGCCGCCGCCGGTGATGTGGACCACCCCCTTGAGGTTCACCTGGTGACGGCGCGGGTGACGCGCGGGGGTGCGGCGGGTTGCGCTGTCGGCGCCGACAGCCGCAGCTGCGGCCGCGGCCGGAGCCCGGGATGGTGGGCGCCGTGCATCGCATGCCGCAATCATATGAACAGCTGTCGGCCAAGCCGCGCCAGGTGGCGGGGTGCTGACACGGCTTGCATTGAGCCCCCGCTCCGCTGCGGCTGCAGTTCGTCGCTCGGCGCGCCGCCGCCCCACGCCTTCACTATGAAACGACGCGGGGCCCAGCGCTTGCGACGCCGAGTCCTGCATGCTCAAGCAACCCCAAAGGGAGGGGGCAGGGCAGACCCGAGGTGCCGGCTGCATCAACAGACAGGCCCCAGCCGCCGCGCACCGCTTCGTGCAGGGCGATGACTCGCTTGACGTATATGATGGTGGGCTCCAGGAGCTCAAGGCCGAAGCTGCGGCCGTTGGCCCAGGGGGCCGGGTCGTGCAGGCTGGTGCCAGACACCTGGGGGGGGGGGGGAAGAGGGCCGGTCGCCGCGGCGCTGCCGCCGCGTCAGTGGGCGGCGCACTGGAGGGGGCCAGCGCGCGCGGGCCAGGGGTGCGCCGCCGCGGGAAGGCCGGCAGGGCCAGGTTTAACCCAACAAGCCCTGGTCCGCGCCACACCTGGCACCGACCTCGGACCAGTGCCGACATCGATCAAAGCAAAGCCCGCTGAACACAGCGGGAGAACATCTGAAATCCAACCAACGCACAGAAATGTATATACGGGTGCCCGTGGGTGCCCCTCACCTCCAGGACCTTGCGCACTAGGGAGAAGCCGTTGGAGTGCACCCCGCTGGAGGCTGTGGCCAGCACCACGTCACCCGCCACGATGGTCTTCCCGGTGATGACGCGGTCCTGCTTCACGGCACCCACTGGAGGGGGGGAGGCAGGATATGGCGCGTGTGTGTGAGGGGGCGACAGTGTGGGTATGTAGCATGTGTGAGTGTCTGTGAGAGAGAGAGCGTGTGTGTGTGCGCGCGCGCGCGTGTGTGTGTGTGTGTGTGTCGTTCGTGTGTGTGTTGGCCCGCAGCAAAGGGGGCTTGTGTGCAGATGCTGCTACGCGGAGGGGGGACAGGTGGTGCCACTCATGCGTAGAGCTCTCAGCCAGAACTACGCCTGACTCGCACCACCTGTCTGACAGAACGCGCATGAGGGTGGGCTGCTCAAAGCACACAACATGAGCGGAGAAGTTTCGTTACGAAGGCGATGCGATGCAGAGCACCACGCTGGGGACCAGCTGCGGCGCGGCGCTGGCCGCTGGCGACCAGGGGAGCGCGTCGGCTCGACGCCTGCTGGGCGGGTGCACCCGCACAACACGCGGTTACACCCCTGACACGATGCATTCTTGTTCCCTTTCCCCCTGTCTTTCGCAAGCACGCACACACACGCACACACGCATGTCTGAGCACACACATAAGCACTCACACCCACAGCCCCGCCCACCTGCAAAGCCCGCCAGGTCGTACTCCCCTTTTTGGTAGAAGCCCGGCATCTCGGCCGTCTCCCCGCCCAGCAGCTGGCAGCCCGACTGGCGGCAACCCTCCACGATGCCCTTGATCACCTGTGGGAGGTGTTGCAATTTGGTTTTGTAGTGGACGCATGAGATGAATGTTATGCAAGGAAGGAGTGCAAATTCTGCGTGTGGGACAGAACGGACCCTGCCTTTGAGAGCGGGCTGGGAAGGCAACATTTGGTTCTGAGTGCTGGTATGGTGCGTGCCCACTCGTTCTTCTGCGGCAGGGATGGCGGATCGCACATTGTTGTTTCCAAAGGATGGGCAGATTTCATGGAGAGCAGACGGGGTGCTAGAGCGCCTCGGTGCTGCCATGTGCACTGTCGCATCGGGCCGCAGCGGGGCCGCGCGCCAGCCCAACGGGCGACTGCAGCTGTGTCATAAGGCGTTGTCGGCTCAACAATGGACGTGATACCAATGGCTGCTGCCCCGCCGACGGGTCGCACGGCCGTCCCCCCCATGTTGCCGCACCCCCGGTCGCCCCAGCACCCCGCCCGCCGTCCTCGCCTCCGCTTCGGCAGCCCGCCGCTGAGCGCTCCCGTTTCCCTCCGCGCTACGGGGGCTGGCGCTCGCAGGTCCACACCCCACTACCACCCCTCCACGCACACACACATGCACATGCACGCACGCTCACGCACCTGCTCTGCAGCGTCCACGTCCAGGGCGCCCGTCGCGTAGTAATCCAGGAAGAACAGCGGCTGCGCCCCGCTGGTGACGATGTCGTTAACCGACATGGCCACCAGGTCAATGCCCACGGTGTCGTGCTTGTTCATATCAAAGGCGAGCTTGAGCTTTGTGCCGACGCCATCGGTGCCGGCGACGAGGTAGGAGTCCCCGAAGGGCACGAGGCCCGAGAAGCCGCCGATGCTGGGGTTGAGCTTCTGGATCCGGCGCACGAGCTCGTCGCCCGCATCGATGTCGACGCCGGCGGCTTTGTAGCTGAGGCCGCCGGCGCTGTCAGCGGCGGCAGGGGCCGGCACTGGGACGCGTGCGCGGCGGCCGGCGGCCGGGCGGCGAGCGGCGGCGGGTCGCTGATGCGGCTGCTGCAGGTTGATCGAGTGAGCTCGCATCATCTTGGCGTGCGGGGCAGGGTACCAACGACCTGGCCTAAGCTGAACCGATCTGCAAAAGCCACGCTGATGTGGCGGCAAGGCACACCTTTGCTTATAAACCCAGTCTCTGTACGCCCGTATTCCTATTACTTATCTCTGAACACATACTATATGAACGCATGTAAAGCCAGTGGCATGATCCGCGACTGTACAGATCACTTTGATCAGACAGTGATTCTTGTCGAAGCCTGTGAGACGCATAATGGATGAACAGCACTTAGAGCGCATCCTCGACGGTGAGTAGGGGCAACAGACGGGCCAGTGTGCAGAGCGCTTCTGGTCTGGAGCCAACGCGCTGCCTGTGCCCTGTGCAGACGCTCTCGCTGATTTCGAAGACGATGAATTTGATGTGGCGCCTACTGCTGCGCCAAGACAAGCCGTTCAAGGAACCTCAAAGAGGTGAGCGACCTTGCAAAGCTCGTATGGGGACTTGTGCGCCGTGCGCACCATCACAAGGGCATCTCATGCTATCCATGCAGTCATGTGCCCGGTGATATCTCCTCCCGGGAGGCGTCGGCATCGGGCGCGCGTGGTGTTGTGGCGGCCCCGTCAGCAACCGACGGCGAGCCCAGCACTAGTGGCGCAGATGCAGGCGCACCCGTGGCAGCAGCTAGCGGCGGCCTAGCGCCCGCGCAGCCAGCGGCGGACGGAGCTGGACCGTCAACGTCCGCCGACGGCCAGCAGCCGGGGGCAGCCGCCTCGACAAAGGCGGCATTCGATCCGTTGGGTCCCCGCCGCAAGCCCAAGGGCCGCGCCGCGGGCCCGCCGGCCGGCCTCGGGCTTGGGGGCGGCCTCAGCCCGGCTGGGGGCGGCGGCAGGGCCCGGGCGGCGCGGCCAGAGGCGGCTGGACTGGAGGACGACCTTTTGAAGCTGGTGGCTGAGTGGTCGCAAGGTGGGCGTCGCACTTGCAGGTCGCTCCGTCCACTTCATCACATGACGTGCAGCTTGCGGGCCACGGCAACCTCGTGCGCTTGGCAATGCGGTTCGAGAGAGCACGGGCTGTGTCTGTGTACGCGGCCTGCAGACAGCGGCCTCGCAACCCCCGGCGCGCGACTGCAGCTGGTGTGCGGGCCGCAGTGGTTGCGGGCCGCCCCGCGCTCTTGGCGGTAGCCAACGCCACCGCCGGCGCATCACCACCGCAACCCGTTGCTTCGCTGTTTCGCAGCATTGCACCCGGAGGCAGAGCCTGCGAGCGCTGGCGTGTCGGCGAGTGCGGGCGGCCCGGCGTCGCAGGGGCCGCAGCAGCAGCGCCCCGGGGCCGCCGTCCTACGGGCCCTAGAGGAGCAGACGCGCCGCACGGTCGCGGCGCAGCGGGGCGGCGGCGGTGGCGGTGGCGCGGGGACCGGCGGCAGCGACGGGGAGGGGGAGGAGGGCGAAGGCGAGGACGGCGGCGGCGGCGGCGGCGCTGGGGGTGACCACGTGAGCATGATCGTGGACGTGGTGATGCAGCACCTGCTCAGCAAGGATGTGCTGTACCAGCCGATGAAGGTGGGTGCTTTTGGGGGGACAGGCCATGGGAGCTACTGTGTTGCTGGGGTTGCAGAGCTGCGTGATGCGGGCGAGGGCATGCCATCTGCGGGCCAGAGCTGGAACAGGCGCGGCCGGTGCGCGGGGCGAGCGCGGGCAAAAATCTAGGGCGTCTGCCAGGCGCGGCGTGGGCGCGGAGGCGGCCCGCGAGCTGGCTGAGTCACGCGCGGCTGGGCCGCGCCACGCTGTCGCAGGCCCGCGCCGGCGGGCCGCTGCAATGTCGCTGCGGCCTGTCGCCCTGCCATTGTGACAACAGCCGTCTGGCGCCTGCCACTTTTCGCCGCCTTCGCCTCCCTATACTGCCCCGTCGCCGGCACCCACACGCTCATATGCGGCACCCCCGTCTACATACACTCTTGCACTCTCTCAATCAATTGCGCTCACACACACGCTCAAACACGCATGCGGTGGCACCTCTCAGGAGATCCGGGACCAGTACCCCCCCTGGCTCGAGGAGCACCGCGGCAGCACGGCCCCCGATGACCTGGCGCGGTACGAGGCGCAGTACGCCGCGATCTGCCGGCTGGTGGAGGCTTACGAGAGGCAGCCGGGGGACTACCCCAAGATCATGGCATTGCTTCAGGAGGTGGGTTCGTGTTTTGGGGGGAGGGGCAGGGGTGGCGTAATGCAGGTTTCCAGCTGCAAGCGCATGTGGGCGCGCGCATGTGGGCGCGTGCTTGTGGGCGCATGTGTGTTCCTTCGCGCACTCGCTGTTTACTTGCTACTGAGGGTGTTGCTTTGATCGTGGATGGGGAGGGGCGGCTGTGGCGAGCGGCCAGGAGGGGTGGGGTGCGCAGCCCGGGCCGTAGGCCTGGGGCGTTCGCTTTTTGCCTGTCTGGGGTGATCAAGCGATCCGGAGATGGTAAAAATCAACGGGTTGAGTGGGGTGGCTACCTGGTGCGCAGCAGAGCACTGGTGACGGCACGGCGCCTATCAGGCGCTCCCCCTTGCTGCCCACTGCGTCGGTGCTTCCTTGATCCCGCCAAACCCGTGTCGTCGCCCTCACAACAGATGCAGGCCTGCGGCGAGCCGCCCGCCGAGATAGTCCAGGACATGAGCAGCGCGATCGGCGCCGAGCTGCCGCCCGGCATGATGGGCGGCCCCGGCGCTGCGCCCGCCGGGCTCGCAGGGGGCGGCCTCGGCGGCCTGTTTCGCGGCGGCGGCGGCGGCGGCGAGCTGGGCGGCTTGGGCGGCTTGGGCGGCCTGTTTGGCGGCGGCGGGGGTGCGGGGGCGCCTCCAGGGGAGCTCGACCTGCCCCCTGAGCTGCTGGGGGCTCTGCCCGACAACCTGCGCAACTGTCCAATCCAGTAACCCGTGTGGGGCCCTCGCCGCTTCGCTGTAAACCATTCGCCCTGCATTTGAGGGACTTCCCCGGCTTGCTGCCGTCGACAAACGTCCGCCGTAGATGAAACCGGGAAGCTGTTCAGCTATGCGGCCGTCGCGCAGCCTGCGGTGGGCGTCGCACATCATTAAGCTGCGTGTGCCAGGCTCTGTCATTTTTGAGCGGCCTGCTGTTGCTTTGACGCTTGTGCTGCTGTGACGGGTGTCGACCCCCCCCCTGGCGTAAATGCCCCGCCCCCCCAGCAGTGAAGGTCACTAGCCGCCTGCACGTGTGGGTAGGGAGTGCATGTGAGCTCAGCACCGTCAGCGCCGCCCTCACGACCAAAAGATTGGTCAGTTTGACTGCAAGCGAGGAGGGGAGGGGGTGTCCAGGCCACCACTTTCATGAAGGCCAATCCGTGTGTGCAACCTGGAAAGCCGCAGAAGTGATTAAAATCGCAGTGGCCGACAATCTTGAGGCCCACTGTCCGCAGGCCCTGTCCAGGCAGCGCGTTTTTCTCATCTGGACACGCAGGATCGTCAAGGACTGCTCGACATTCTGCGTTGCTGTAAATGAGATAGCATCACGAAATACTTTGCACTGGATCGCTCCAAATCCTCCTCTTACCGCGCGAGGCCGAAGCAACCGCCCATCAACAAGTGCGTTCAACCAGCGGGACGGCTAGGAGAAATCTGGGACTGTCGTAGGAACAAACAGCATCAAGAGGATTGAGGTGTGGGTGTTGTGCGCAACGCGCTGCTTCGCGCCCGCCCCCAGGTCGTGCGAGATGCAGCAGCAGCGCATCCTGGCCCTGTTGGTGCTGGCGGCGTGCGTTTGCGGCGCAGGTGAGAGCTCAAGGGCTGTACACCCGTAATATTGCAAGCATGCGGCACCGCCCCACGTAATCACATGGGCTTGAATAGAGGGTGGCCGAAGTCAGCGCACCAGGGTGCCCTGGCTCGCCCGTGCAGCATGCAGCTGCCACACCTGGGTCCATGTGCCGCAGCCCGGCGCAGCGGCACGCGTGTCGACCAGACATCTGACCTCGGACGCTCTTTCCTCCGCTCGCCCCGCGCAGCCGCGGCCACCAAGCAGGCGCCCAAAACCATCAAGGTGGCGTGGCAGCCGCCGGGCAACTCGCTCGACGAGATGGACCGCCCGCGCCTCCTCAACTGTGGCGACACCCTGCAGCTGACGTGCCCGCCCAGCCAAAAGCACGGGGTGTTCAAGATCGCCAACGGTGGGTGGCGCTGGTGGGCCGGTCTGATTGGGTGCAACGAGGGGGGACGTGGGGGTGCCGTGCCGGCGCCGTTGACAGCTGGTGTGCGCGACTGGCGGGAGCGGCAGCGGGGCCCGTGCGTTGGTGCTAATCCAGGCACGCTAATCGTTTCAAAGGCTGCTGCATCAATAATTTTAGTCTCCACGCGCCAAGACATTGCCCCAGGTGTCAGCCCCACGTCTGTACCCCCCTTGCTGGCAGCAGCGCAACGCTGCCGCATCTCAGCAGATGCAGGGTTCGGTGCGTGGGGGCCCCTGCAAAATGACCATGTGTAACGCCCGTGCGCCACCGCCGGTGGCCCCACCCATTGCCCCCCGCAGTGTCCGGCGCGTGCCCCCGCAACTTCCAGCCAGTGCACGGGGATGTGCTGCTGGCCCCCATCAAGGACTGCGATATGAAGATCAAGCTGCAGGCTGGAGATGACTACTTCCTGACCAGCAATGTGCGGGGGCAGGGCGGGCGTGGGGACACTGCATGGTCCTGGCATCTGAACGGGGCTGTGTGCGACAGGCGCGGGCTGAAGGGTGTGGCTTGCTGATGCGCAGAGGCCTCATGAATGCAGACGTATGCGTGTGCATTCGGCGGTGGAACAGCCGCAGGGTTGCGTGCTCGGGGCCTCGCAGCTGTGTAGCCCCCCTTAGCCCTGCACAAC